ATTGCGGCTGAAAGAGAGCACCAGTTTTTGAAATTCCCCACCCGACCCTCCCGATGAAGTATCTGACGGGGGTCGGGCCTTGTGGCAAAGCATCATGCACATACAGTTCAGCTTTGACATTCCGGCCCGACTTTTATATCCAACGACTCAGGGCCATGACTGTGCATCTCTGGAAAAGGAAGGGCACGAGCGATTCTATGGAGTCCGATGTTTACAAAGGTACGTTTACTGTTCAGCCCCGAGTCGGCTAGATACGATTATGATCGATTATGTAAGGGGAACACAGGAGTAGCGTATCGGTCGTGGCAGGAATGCCATACTGCATCAGCCTCGCACACTTGTCTCGTCAAGACACCTGGAAAGTTGAGATCGTGAAGTATTCCTAGCTTGCCTCCGACCGTCATCATCGTCCAACTAGCCTGAGAAACTCGTCTTCTGAGTTGGGCACCGGATTGTACAGAGCATGCCATGATATGGCATATGTGTAGATAGTTCTTGTCAAGCATCCAAATCTTTCACAGACTGAGCTTTCCTCATGCCAGGCAGACCGCGACTTTGTTGCCATCGCGCTAACAAACGATGGGCGTGCTTTACGATTTGCCTCAGCACAGCTTCGTGATGAACGGGAATTGGTGTTGTCGTCGGTGCAGCAGAACCCTGCGGCCATGGCGTTTGCAGGCAATGTTGGGCGTCCCACATGTATTGCTCAATGCAACGGGCAACTTTTGACTTCAGGTGCATCTCTTCTAGAAGATCGTGGCTTTGTCTTGGAAGCAGTGCAACTCCATGGTGTGGCGCTGGAACACGCGCCTCGTTTCCATGGAGACGAGGCCGTGCAGAATAATTTGACTTCCTGTTTCTTTCCACAAATGTGTGTAGGTGCACAGAAATACTGTGCAAGCCCGGACAGGAAGTTGCTCTGCATGGGATCGCTTCTTGTGCTGAAGCTATGCGATTCGCGGATGGCTTGCGAGACAAGCGAAGCTTTGCATTGCAAGCAGTCAAGACAGCAGGCGGGCAGCGGCGTGCGGCCCATTGCCGCCCCATCTTGCTTCATGAGACTTTCGGGGATGCGTGCAGGTCGAAGCCTCCGATACGTTTCAGCTGAGCTTCGTGGAGACAAGGAGCTTGTTCTGGCACCTTTCAAAGCATTGCGTATTCAGACATGGCTTTCTGTCCTCTGCAGCCCTGCCCCTTTGATTTGGTAGCCTTCGATACTGCGTTGTGAGGCCGCTCTTGCGAATTCTGGCGTGGCACTGGAGTTCGTCTCTGAGGAGCTCAAGCAAGACGAGGAGGCTGCGCGATGCTGCGCGGTTCTCCACTCCGCTCCCAGCCGCTCCCAGCGCCCCTCGCTGTTGACGCGCAGGTCGTTTGGTGCGCCGTTTCTCAGGCGCGTGTTTTTGAGGTCCTTCTATTCCCTTCTCTTGGGGCTGCCCGCCTGGAGGACATCTCTGCTCTGCAACATGCACCAGCCTTCCGGGCCAATGCGAAGTTCTTGCTGCGCTGTGTCGCATGTCGGTCATGCGACGTGCTGGAATACGCCGACAGAGGACACTGTCTCAGAAGCTGTGAGGCTGTCCGTGGCGTCCCTTTTCAAAAGGGGGCCCCAACCAGTCTTGTTCGATTTTCTTGCTGCTGAACTGTGCTCTGTCCCAGGCCTAACAGCGGACAAGGAGTTTGCCTTCAGCGTTGTCGCCCAAGAGCCGTGGCTTCTGTAAGTAAGACTTGATATAGACCACAGCCATCGCATTCCAAGCGAGACTTGAAGTATCGTCAAAAACTGGTAGCCTTGTGTGATTCCCAACCCTTGTCATGCCAAGGACGTGCACTCTCTTCGCTTTTTGGCATCTGAGCTGCAGTGCTGCAGGCACAGCAGCGGTTCGCCGGTACTACTGCTTCCCAGTCCTCGTACTCATGAGGGCGCGTGCGCGGGGTTCGCGTGAACACGCCGCAAAGCTCTCCCTTGCCTACGCCCCTCCCTCACCAAGTGCTCGCTAGAGGGCCCGGGTGAAGGCGAAGGTATCAAATCTGTATCTTGGAAGTGTCTGTCCGTCCAAGAACGCTTACATGCTCTCTTTCTGTGGCGATAAGGTCTTGGTGGTGAGGCAGATACCGTGTCTCTTGTATCGGATCGTGTTCGTGTTCATGCCTGCCGGAGAGCTCTTTTACCATCTTGTTGCAGGATGCATAGCTTTGACCGCAGAGTATCGTGCATACAAGGCACCGAACTGGAGCCAGTCAAAAATGGCTCTTAGTAGTGGAGATTAACTAATGGAGCATCATTCCATGAGAACATGACACTTCCTCACTTCGGGCAAGCATGCGGAAGACTCGAGAGCTACTTGTAGTTCACTCATGACTCATGCGATGGCATGTTTGTCGCCGGCGTGTAATTCACTGTCCTGTCGGAAGGATAGGTACTGGAGGAATTGATTCAAGTTCTGGTTATTGTTGAGGGGTTAGGCGGAGCCCATGGGAAGCTCCAACACTACAACTCTAAGTGACAGTTACATCCATAGAAAAGGCCATATTAATGGGCATAGGAGAAGCGGCCCCAAGCGTAGAGCCAGTCAGGAGCCTTGCTGAAAGCCATCTTTCCTGGCCTGGCCTCCGCAGGGATCTGATCCTACACGCCACGGCGCTCGATGAGACGGCTTCACTCCCCTATGCTGGACAGACTTTGCAGACGTTGTACTGCTTTCGTGTGACTGTCGTAGAGTGTCGAGTGGCGAAGGACAGCTTGCTGAGCCTTTAGAGAGCTTCTTGTCTGAAGCCCGACGGCTTGGCAGCGCCGGAGCAATGGTGCGGCGCCACCCAAACAGCAGGAGACTGGTGTGGCATTGATCGATGAATTCAGCCCTCTCGTTGACATCGCCTCAGCGCCCAGAAGTGTAGAGGAACATCGTCCTGCGTGGAGTCGCCTGGCACCCGCTCTCGCTGTGGCGACCTGGCAGGATTCAGAGAGGGAAGGAAAGAGAGAGTATATATCTGTGTTGCTTTTTCAGGTTGGTGTTCGTGATACCCAGGAACCACGACGGGGAAATTGTATGTAGTCATGGAATCGCAATGAGCCCTGGATGCTCGCTTGAATTCACGCAACATCACCGTAAATACCGATGCTTCCTAAGCATGAGAAACAACAGACAGAGACAGAAGACTGTTGAGAAACAGCCGACTAGAAGGGTGGTACATGTGGTTAAATATATATATATATATATATATATATATTATATATATATATATACCTATATGGTCACACGTACGTAAAAGGCCGTGTGGGTTTTCGCAAGCAGCATATTATTCGATTGTGCTTTTAACCCACGCCTGCCAGC